TTAAGTATTACGTTTAACTTATTGTTGATGAACTTATTTTTAGCTTTTCACATTCTTGAATAGAAAGTCGGAGCAAAGCAAATAAGGCGTATTCTTGTAGAATCTTCGGACAGTCAATTTGTGTGTTCTGTTGGAAATAATGTTTACTAAAAATGTGTTTATCACTTTAACAATGTCAACGTACAAACCTACCTACAAACTGTACTGTAAAGCTTAACGTCCAAGGCCAATATATAGGACCTATATTATAGGTGTCATTTCGTTTAAGGGGATTGTACTGTAATGACACAACATGGAGGTATATACATACATACATGTTGCCTCTTTCGACTTGTGAGAGATTTTTTCAAATCAACCCACATGGAACTGGTCAAATTTTGACCTTTAGTTTCAACCACAGACCTGTGGTTTCAACATATTTTGGTTAAACTTTTAAAGTAGGTTGTAAAAATAAGTGATCTTGATTTGAGGGTTTGGACCTCCTCCAGCTAAATGGCGCACAGCACCAGTAGCTGTTGAGGTGAGTTCTAGATAATTTTAAGCGAAAAATTTAACCTAAATATATATAAACATTCAATTTTCTTAGTTTCTTTAAGAAACTTTTTTGACCCATCACTGGTAATATTCATAAGAATATAAGAAAAAATTGAACCTACACCTCGCCAAAGTTTTTTGTTTTGAATGTGTACCACCAACTTCAAATACCGACAGACAGCTGTTTCGACCTTTATTGGGTCTCATCAGTGTCGGGCAACTTGGTGTAGTGGAACACAATCAAAACAAATTACTCCCTCAGCTTATATGCTCGGTTGTTAAGTCAACAGAGGCGAGATGTAAGAACATCAGGTGATCCACACCGTCAAACGACGTGGCCTTTGCTGCAATCGGTACATACTATGCAACCGGGACTGCACACAGCAATTGTATCACAGATACTAATATGGCCTAAAGGAATCTAGAATTAACCCAAACGGGCTAAACATTAAGGTAAACATTCAATTTTCTTAGTTTCTTTAAGAAACTTTTTTGACCCATCACTGGTAATATTCATAAGAATATAAGAAAAAATTGAACCTACACCTCGCCAAAGTTTTTTGTTTTGAATGTGTACCACCAACTTCAAATACCGACAGACAGCTGTTTCGACCTTTATTGGGTCTCATCAGTGTCGGGCAACTTGGTGTAGTGGAACACAATCAAAACAAATTACTCCCTCAGCTTATATGCTCGGTTGTTAAGTCAACAGAGGCGAGATGTAAGAACATCAGGTGATCCACACCGTCAAACGACGTGGCCTTTGCTGCAATCGGTACATACTATGCAACCGGGACTGCACACAGCAATTGTATCACAGATACTAATATGGCCTAAAGGAATCTAGAATTAACCCAAACGGGCTAAACATTAAGGTAAACATTCAATTTTCTTAGTTTCTTTAAGAAACTTTTTTGACCCATCACTGGTAATATTCATAAGAATATAAGAAAAAATTGAACCTACACCTCGCCAAAGTTTTTTGTTTTGAATGTGTACCACCAACTTCAAATACCGACAGACAGCTGTTTCGACCTTTATTGGGTCTCATCAGTGTCGGGCAACTTGGTGTAGTGGAACACAATCAAAACAAATTACTCCCTCAGCTTATATGCTCGGTTGTTAAGTCAACAGAGGCGAGATGTAAGAACATCAGGTGATCCACACCGTCAAACGACGTGGCCTTTGCTGCAATCGGTACATACTATGCAACCGGGACTGCACACAGCAATTGTATCACAGATACTAATATGGCCTAAAGGAATCTAGAATTAACCCAAACGGGCTAAACATTAAGGTAAACATTCAATTTTCTTAGTTTCTTTAAGAAACTTTTTTGACCCATCACTGGTAATATTCATAAGAATATAAGAAAAAATTGAACCTACACCTCGCCAAAGTTTTTTGTTTTGAATGTGTACCACCAACTTCAAATACCGACAGACAGCTGTTTCGACCTTTATTGGGTCTCATCAGTGTCGGGCAACTTGGTGTAGTGGAACACAATCAAAACAAATTACTCCCTCAGCTTATATGCTCGGTTGTTAAGTCAACATTCTAGATTCCTTTAGGCCATATTAGTATCTGTGATACAATTGCTGTGTGCAGTCCCGGTTGCATAGTATGTACCGATTGCAGCAAAGGCCACGTCGTTTGACGGTGTGGATCACCTGATGTTCTTACATCTCGCCTCTGTTGACTTAACAACCGAGCATATAAGCTGAGGGAGTAATTTGTTTTGATTGTGTTCCACTACACCAAGTTGCCCGACACTGATGAGACCCAATAAAGGTCGAAACAGCTGTCTGTCGGTATTTGAAGTTGGTGGTACACATTCAAAACAAAAAACTTTGGCGAGGTGTAGGTTCAATTTTTTCTTATATTCTTATGAATATTACCAGTGATGGGTCAAAAAAGTTTCTTAAAGAAACTAAGAAAATTGAATGTTTACCTTAATGTTTAGCCCGTTTGGGTTAATTCTAGATTCCTTTAGGCCATATTAGTATCTGTGATACAATTGCTGTGTGCAGTCCCGGTTGCATAGTATGTACCGATTGCAGCAAAGGCCACGTCGTTTGACGGTGTGGATCACCTGATGTTCTTACATCTCGCCTCTGTTGACTTAACAACCGAGCATATAAGCTGAGGGAGTAATTTGTTTTGATTGTGTTCCACTACACCAAGTTGCCCGACACTGATGAGACCCAATAAAGGTCGAAACAGCTGTCTGTCGGTATTTGAAGTTGGTGGTACACATTCAAAACAAAAAACTTTGGCGAGGTGTAGGTTCAATTTTTTCTTATATTCTTATGAATATTACCAGTGATGGGTCAAAAAAGTTTCTTAAAGAAACTAAGAAAATTGAATGTTTACCTTAATGTTTAGCCCGTTTGGGTTAATTCTAGATTCCTTTAGGCCATATTAGTATCTGTGATACAATTGCTGTGTGCAGTCCCGGTTGCATAGTATGTACCGATTGCAGCAAAGGCCACGTCGTTTGACGGTGTGGATCACCTGATGTTCTTACATCTCGCCTCTGTTGACTTAACAACCGAGCATATAAGCTGAGGGAGTAATTTGTTTTGATTGTGTTCCACTACACCAAGTTGCCCGACACTGATGAGACCCAATAAAGGTCGAAACAGCTGTCTGTCGGTATTTGAAGTTGGTGGTACACATTCAAAACAAAAAACTTTGGCGAGGTGTAGGTTCAATTTTTTCTTATATTCTTATGAATATTACCAGTGATGGGTCAAAAAAGTTTCTTAAAGAAACTAAGAAAATTGAATGTTTACCTTAATGTTTAGCCCGTTTGGGTTAATTCTAGATTCCTTTAGGCCATATTAGTATCTGTGATACAATTGCTGTGTGCAGTCCCGGTTGCATAGTATGTACCGATTGCAGCAAAGGCCACGTCGTTTGACGGTGTGGATCACCTGATGTTCTTACATCTCGCCTCTGTTGACTTAACAACCGAGCATATAAGCTGAGGGAGTAATTTGTTTTGATTGTGTTCCACTACACCAAGTTGCCCGACACTGATGAGACCCAATAAAGGTCGAAACAGCTGTCTGTCGGTATTTGAAGTTGGTGGTACACATTCAAAACAAAAAACTTTGGCGAGGTGTAGGTTCAATTTTTTCTAAATATATATATTTTTTTATACTGGTAGTGGGTGAGGCTGTTTCTCTTTGCCTTGTCTAGGGGATGCAACCATTTGGTTACACCTCTTTCGACTGGCAGTGTGTAAACTATATTTTGTTGTTGTAATGGCTTTGGTTAGTAGTAGTTGTTAGTAATGAATTTAATTAATAGAATTTCAAAGTTGGCTGATGGCCTGACATAACTCGTTTTAATTCTATAATAGAAAGACAATGTAAGTATAAGTAAATTAACTATGAGTATAAATAAGTACAAATATAGATGTAAAAAACTAAATAAATCTGTACAAATATAACATAAATGTGTGAAAGTAAATAGGTTGACGTGATTGGACATTGTATAGAGGTATATATGAAAACAATTTGTTTTCATATATACCTATATGGCGGCTGGTGGATTTTGGACACACCCATATCTCAGTTATTAGACATGGGACCCCCATCAAATTTATATGAATTTATAATAACATTATATAGACAAGTTCTGCGCAAGCAGAATATAAATTGAAGTTTGCGAAAAAAAGTTAGTTTTTAAGTGTGCCCCCCAGCCTCCTGCCCCCCAAATTAAGATAATTCAAATTAAAGTGGTACAATATTTAATTCACTGAAGTTTATCGACAAATTTCAAATTTTATTAAAAAAATTTAAGAATTACAGGTTTTGTACCATTTTAAATTTTTATTATTTCTTTTACTATATTTAAAAAAAAATAGAAATGGTATAAAATCTGTAATGCTTAAATATTATTAATAAAATTTGAAATTTGTCGATAAACTTCAGTGTATCACTTTAATTTGAAAAATCTTACAGGAGGCTGGGGGCAAACTTCAATTTAAATTCTGATTGCGCAGAACTTGTCTATATTATGTCATTATAAACTCATAAAAATTTGATGTGGGTCCCATGTCTAATAACTGATATATGGGTGTGCCCAAAATCCACCAGCCGCCACTTGTTTTAAACAATATAACATACATAAAAAATATTTTTCTGGACATATAAAATCATGAATTTAAGTAATAGTTTATTAAAGTTCTTTTCCTTCTTCTGTGAAAGTTTATTTCCTTACATTCTGTATACATATTTATAAAGTAATAAGAAACTTCAAAAAAATACCATAATCAACAGTCGGATTCTACGTGACTTGGAAAAAGATAATACAAGGAACACGATGTGGTACATAAATTGCTTTAAATTAGAACCTTTTTCTTTTTAAAATTACTATTTTATAACTTTACTTTGTTGAGTTGGTTAAAAATTATAATTTAATCAATACAATGTTAATAAAATTATATGAAAAGTAACTTACGTCTACATGAAGCCCCGATAAGGTGAACACTCGTGTAGGGGGCGCTTCTTTTGGCACGTATCGGTAAAACTCGTCCCCGTCCCGGTACCACTTCACAGAGTAGAGGGGGGCTTCTTCAAGGTCGTACTCGCAACCCAAGGTTACCGAATGGCCAACCCTGATGGCACGCGGTACGTTCAAACGCATACCTTTCAGGCTTTTACAACTGCATATCCCTGAAAAAAGTTTTTTATTAGACATGTAGACTATTCTAAACCAGTTAAGTTTAAAGGCAATTATTGCTTAAAACATGTTAGTACAATTTAAAGACAATTTTGTAAATAAACCGCATCATTTACCTGCTGGAGACATTCGAAATATTCAATTAAAAAGTTAAAATTTGTTTTTAATAAACATGGACACGTTTTGTTCGATTATTTTAAGTTTTGTTTTGTCTGTTGTTCCACTGAATCGACCGTTCACGAATATATGTAAATAAATACAATTAAATTTTAAAATAACACTGAACAATGAATACCAATATGGAACATAAAATTTTATGTATTTATCTAGATTTAATTTTCGATCAGCGAAATTGTTTTGTTTGAAACTTTTAGCAGTTTTAAATAATAAAGGAAATGAGGCAAAGTTTTAAAATTGTAATTTACGTATACATTGTGTTTAAGACCCTTCATTATTTTGGAACGCCTTAACCTATTTTAATATATATATTTTATATAGGTTTTTTACATTTTGGGAGGCTTCGTCCCCAAACATTGTTAGGTATCTGACATTGCTCAAATAAATTTCAAATTTGCTATGCTGTGGCAAACACCCATTTAGCAGTTCTTAGCAGACCTTAATAAAAATTTAAAACTCTCTCTTGGTCAAATGGTACTCATCGAGTAGGTACTATGTCCCAAAAAATAAAATATTAAAATCGGCCAACGCATTCCAAAATGGAGTGTTGTGGTATGTATGTATATTGGGGTGCTTTCTTTCACGACTATTTTTATTTTTTTGCTTCCAACTCAAAATCTTTTTAAAAATGTTCAAAAAAAAATTCCCTGAAAATTTGAGCCCTTAATATTAACTCAAAGTACTCTACCAAAGCGTATAAAGATTTTCCATTTAAAATACACGTAAACTTTGATTATTTTTTTTTAAATCTATATCTCAGCCGCATTTTATGCTATTGGATTGTTTCAAAAAAGGATTTACTCGTAATCAAAAGTTCTACAAAAATGCTTTATGTGCCATAGCTGTAATCTGCACCTGTAGGATGGTACGGGTGACTAAATCTTATTTTAGTAAAAAATTCTCATATTTTGGAAGATATTTCAAAAGTGACTGAATTATTTTAAAAAATGTAAAGGGCAAACTTGTAGAAAATTTAATTTTCTTTAAAAAAAGTTTTATCAGTTGAATCGCTAAGGTTGATATTTGTTGAGATATAAAGCGTTTACATTGACATTTTATGAAATTTTCAGGATTTTCGTACCAAACTTTTTATAAATGATGATTTTCAATTGTTTATCAGTACAATTTCATGTAATTACGTTTTTTCTACAGTCGGGTGATTAGAGAAAAATAAATGACTAAAACAATCAAGCAAAATTATTAATAAAACATAATATTTTTATTTCTGTGAAATTCTACAAAAATTGTATACGATTTTATAAAATATTATACAATATAAAGTACAGCTAATGACGTAGAAATTCTTTTAACAATTATTTTTACGACAAAATAAAATTCGTAGTTACGCATACGTTGTCTTGAGTATGAGAGCAGACATTTCCGCTACACCAATTATCCTTTTTAAATAAGTTAAATGTATTTATCTACTTCTACATTGACGAGCTGTAACTTTATGGCGATTTAGTCACGGGCTGAAATTAGCTTTATTATACAGGGTGTTATGTAATTAATGTTATACACAGTGGCGGATTTACCAGCAGGCTGAGTAGGCTCGAGCCTATAGGGCGGCAGATTTTGGGGGCGGCAAATTTGGGGAAAGATTTTTTTTTACCTTATAGAAATCAAAAATATTTTTCCATGACGGTTTTCTGATGTCTTACAGATAGAAGTCTGCAACAAATTTTGTCGATGACTTCTCTCTCACTTGTCATTGCACATTCCGAGAGTAGCAAACTTCCATATTCTAGAGTAAAACAGCTAGTTCGCCGCCCCTCAACCAGTAATCGGCCTCTCGCCTCTGCGCCCTTTGCCCACACTTATTATGAGTGAAAAAAGCGAAATTGTAAAAAATATGCCCCTCTTCCCACTAACAACCCATACATGCCAGTCTTACTACTGGTTGGATGCTACGAACTGGATGGTTTGTATATAATTTTTCGATTTTTATTCGAATATAATGAATAATTTAGTGAATAATTTTACCGATTTCAATTTTATGTATCGACTATTATGTGTTTCACTTGCACTAGTAGCCTCAGAAAATTCGATTGGAATTAAAAAAAAATCTTGAACAGTAATAGCGAGATAGTCTTAAGTCAAAAAAATATTTTCCCCGAACGCGGTATTTTTTTAATGTTATCAATGACGTCAATGTTGCACGTGCACGTGGCGAGCTTCTTTCTCTATTCCAATAACCGTGTGGGTTACCCCACAATCCACACAACAAGGTCTGTTTGATCTTTATTCGCGCATGTTAAAAATCACAAAATTAGGCAACCTAGTATACATTGATTGAGCTTCGATTAGCTCAAAAATATACCGAAAAATTATTTTACGTACAATTTCAACGAAATTGTTGCATTGTAAAAATAATGTATGATATGACAATTGTTGAGGCAAGGGCGGCAAAAACTATTCAGCCTATACCTTGAAAATTTGTAAATCCGCCACTGGTTATACATATATATTAAAATAGGTTGTTCCTTAGGGTCCATAAAGAAGCACCTAAAACTTTTTTTTTCTAAATTCCAAAGTCTAAAAATAATTTATAATAACCTTTATCCTACCAAAAAGTACGCCACTGATCGACTAGGAACTTTAGGTTAATCTGGTGGATTTATTATGTTATGGTTAGTAACAACAGTGTTTGAAAAATCTCTCAAAAAAGTTGACAAACATTGTTTAAATTTAGCTTAATTACAAAAATGACAAAATTAACAATGCAAATTGTTAATTTTGCGTATTTATTAATTGTTGGTTATTTCATTTTTGTACTGAAGGTAAATTCAAACAAAATCTGCCAACTTTTATGACACAATCTAGTGCATTTCTTTTAAATTTTAGGTTATGTTTTCAAATTGTAAATATCTTAACTAAGGGAAGTGCTTTTGGATTTATTTACACAAATTAAATGTTTAAAGTTTAACCTGTGAACTGGTCCCAATTTCATCTGAGTAAACAGAGAAAAAAACTGATGAAAAAATTTATTTTGTGGTTATGGATTTCAAATTTCAAAGGTACTAAATTTTCTAATCATTGCCTAAGCTAATAGCAGTAAATAAATACAGAAGGGTATTAGAGCTTTAAGGGCATAACACTTTTGTATTTATTGAGTTTTTATTTATTTTTTGCAAGAAAAATTTTTAGTAACAATTTTTTACATCTGGCAACGCATAGCTACTTTGTTGGTTGGTATCTATGTACTCACAAAATACAGGTGTGCAGAGGTAAACAAGTGTGTAACCAGTGGCGTATCACAAAAAATATAAAAAACTTCTAATGCATATTTTTTCTTTATCTTTGGAAAAATGTTTTTTAAATATTTTTCCTTTATTCCTTATGTCAAAAGGTATTCAGTATTTTAATATATAACATTAATTACATAACACCCTGTATATTAGAGAAAAGTGAGGTTAATTCCATTGACATTTGACAGATATCAAATGTTTAACAAATATAATTGGCTTTAAATTCTTTTTTTTTGTTCGTCGTAGATAAAGTTTACTTAGTATGCAACTCGCTTTATAAACTTATCTAGACACTCGTTTTTAATAAGCTTCGCTCGTGCCTAATAAAACTCGTAACTAAAATGGCGTTTTGTAAAATTTCACAGAAAAAAAAATATTATGTAAAAAAGTAATCGTTCTAAATTTGAGTAAAACTAGTACCAGATTCTTTTAATGTAATAAACAATTTTTAATTTATCGGAATATCTTGTCAATAATTTTCACTTATCTCTATTCAATAATTTTTACTTTTTCAATAATACATAAAATCACATATTTTCAAAAATGAACAATTTATTTTCATAAAAATAATGATAATTTTGCAGTCAAAGTAAAAAAATCGAAAAAATTACTATTAGTTCAATTTTAACCTTAAATAACTTTTAAACCAGTGAATTTATCGAAAAATCATGGGAAAGTTTTTTGTACAGCGTTCAATTTCCTATAAAAATATGTATCAATTTTTGCTGTATAATAACTTGCTTCAAAAAAAAATATACGTAAAACTTGCCGAAACCCCATGTTATTTAAACGGAAAATGTATCGTCTTTGTGGCACGGTTTAAAATGAATATTTTTTTTTATAATTCTTTTTAGGTCATAAACTAAAAATTTAGGGGGCGCTGCAAACAAAAAAACGTTGGTAAATAACGGAAACCCTAATATACATATTTATACATTGTGTATAGATAAGTATATATATATATATGTATACAATTATAAAAAACGCCACAAGCTATAACTATTATTTTTTAAAGATATGACAGTTATTGAATTATACTTATTAGAATAAAGTTGAACAGTTTATTGTCATCCATTTTTTGTTTCAGGGTTTATCTTAATCCTAAAAAAAATAGATGACAATAAACTGTATTGTCATATTTTAAAAATATTGCCTGAAGCGTTTTTTATTATTCACCCTGAATGAATAATATTGCATATAATATTTGATATTTTTATTATTTGGTGTTCATTTATGACGACAAACCTTTGTTAAACGGATTGCTAAAATTTGGAAATTTGTTCATTTTGACAATAACATTTAAATTAAATAAAAAAAATCAGCAAACTAAACTGACAACAACTAAAATGTTTAAATCTATATCAAAGTTTTACATTACTTATTTGATATAGAACACCACAATGTTTCGTATTTGGGCTTTTTTTTGACAAATTGCGAATCCCCTATATACCAAAACACGACCCCAGGTTGAAAACAAGTAGAAGTTATTATTTGTTATTTATCACAAAAAGATGTTTATTTTCTTTAGGATTTCGATTAACTGGGAGCTTTGGATAAAGCAAACCCGGAACTAACTTGTCTATTAAATAATCAATCTGTTTGTTAAAGGTTTAGAAACCATGCCTAAGCACAGGTATGTTGTGTAATTATCAGCCACTAAATTCCGACGGATTGCAACAATGTTATTCCCGGGGAATTACCAAT